AATCTAATTATTTCTCTGAGGAGAAGGGAAAGATTTAAATGTCAAAAATCGAATTTGCAGAGGAGATAGCTCCCTATTATGTTAATTCAAATGATATGAATACAAGTAATATATGTTGTCTTGTGAAAGCCCCCCAATATTACACTCAAATGTTTGGTGGGTGAGGCATTTTTTAAAGGTGTAGACATTCCTACTACCCCTGTATTCTTTTGACTCAAAATGATAAAGGAATGATATAAATGATAGCATTTATAGTCAACAGAGTAGCACTTGTATCCACTAAAAAAGTTTGTTTTTGTCTATAATTGCTGTTAATTTACAGAAATCACTGGATATTGGGTACTGCTATCTCTTTTAAAAGCCTCCATCATTCTTTAGAGGATTATGTTCCAATGTGTTGCATAGTGAATAGTTTAAACATGTCCCAGGAAAGCAAAGGGGCCATTTTATTTCTAAATTATGTTCAGTGAAAAAGTACCGTTTGGTGTAAAGGTGGATTTTGAGTATGAAAGAGAAACTATTTTATCAGATACAATCATTTAACTATCCTCTCAGATGGAAGGCTCCCAAAGGCAAAATAAAAGTCAAAGATTTACTGAGACAGAAGACTGGATCCTAAACAAAGAATCTAATTGCCCTTTTATGATTGAGAAAAATTTCAGAGCACAGGACCTGGAGCAAGGTTTACATATCTCAGAGCTTTGATCTCCCCAAGCAGGATAGAAACAAAGGTCTTCAAGTGCTCACTCTACGTGGTTGTAATGATGAGATGTCTTTAATTCTGTCCACACACTATCTGAGTCAAAGCACCAAAATGTCAAATTTTAAAAATTCTCCAAAACCAAAGAAACGGGTGGTTTAGTAGGTCATTGAGGGAGAACTTCAGTGGGAGTGTCTTACCAAAGTTGGGGAATGAGTAGGGCTTTATAGGGGAAAGAAACAAAAGTGGCAGAGTGCCTGCTGCAAGATTAGTGGGATTTGGTTAAGCAGATGTTGCAGAAAGGAGTTGTTTTCTTTGTGATTTGGTCTATCTTATATTTTATGGAATTGTTAACTTGAAGAAGTTGGATGAAGTGGGTTAGTCTCCTGACACTAGGTACAAGGGTTGGGCATGGGGGGTGGTCAGTGTAAGTTCAGAGAAGAGAATTTTACAATTCTCCATATTTAACAAAAATTTATTGGGTATCTAGTTTGTGCCTGGTACTGCACAGTAACTCAGAAGTCACAGTTTTAAAATCCTGCTTTTATAGAATTTATATTCTAGTGGTAAGAGGTATAAAATGAACACATTACCAACAAAAAGATAAGCTACATGATATGGTAATAAATGGAATGAAGCCAAGTTTGGGGAGAAGGGTAGATGTTTTGGGCCTGGTTGGGTAGGTTGCTATTTAATCAGAGTAGTACCAGTGACATTTATTAAACAGTTCAGCCTTTCCCCAAAGATTTAGAAAGATAATTTCATCTTTTATCAAATTTCAATGTATATTATTTGGTCTGCTTCTGGATTCTGTTTTGTGTGTTTATGACCTATTTGCTTATCCCTGTTCCAGGACTATGTTTTAAATTGCAAAGCTTATTAAAAATTTTATTAAATAGGAACAACTTCTATTCTTTGTTTTCCTTTTCAAAAAGGTCTTATTTTTGACTTACCACTAATAGGAATTTTAGCACCAGCAGCTAAGTTCAATAAAAAACCATTATAATTTTTGTTAAAATTGTATTATATTCATAGATAAATTTGGAAAGAACTGGTAGATAATAATGATTCTATCCATTCAGGAACCTGATGTATCTTTCCTTCTATTTAGGTCATATTTCATATTTTTCAGTAAGATTTTATAACTATATCATACCTTAGTTGTAAGATTTCTTTCTTTTTGTGTTTATTTTGTGTTTCTTGTGGGTATTGTAAATGTTGTATTATGTAGAAAAGCATTTAAATTTGCAGTCATCTTTTATTCTGTAATGTTGCTCAACTCTAGTTCTAAGTGTTTACACTTTCTTTTGGATTGTTTTTGGTGGAAGATCATACTGACAACTAATAAGAGTATATACCTTTTTTCTTAACTGTATATGTACGTATGTAATGTCTTTTTTACTCTCTCTTATTATGTTAAAACCTGTAAAACATTTTAAAATATGAAACAAGTTCATGATTTTTAAATAAAAAATGCACCATTAATTATGATATTTTCAGTTTTTTTGGCATTTCTATTACCAATTTAAGAATTTTCTCTGCATTCCTATTTTGTTGGCAGTTTTTTTTTTTTTTTTTTTTTTTAAATCATCCTGTAAAGGTGTTGGATTGTTTTGGATGCTTTTTTTAAATCTATTGGTATGTTCATACTTTTTTTCCTTTTTTAAAAATTAATATGGTAAATTACATTTATAGATTTTCTAATGTTAAGCCACCCTTGCATTTCTGGAATGAAAGAATCTCCATAAATAAAAAAACAAACTTTTCTTTGGTACTAGTATAGCTTATTTTGAATTTTTGTATCTATATTCCTAAGTGATATTGCTCTGAAATGTTCCTTTTTTTGTCCTGCCCTTTTCTGACGTGGGTAAAAGATCATGTAAATTTCATATACTGAGTAGGGAACTTCCTTTTAAAATTCTGTATAAAATTTCCCTTAAGAGTGGGGTTATTCATTTATTGAAATTTTATAGACCTTTCCTCTAAACCTTCAGGACCAGGCAAAGTGTTTTTGTGGGTAGATTTTATATACTTCATTAAATGTATTGATATTTATTAAATTTTTAATTATCCTTTTGAAATTTTCTATTTTCTCTTCTACTTCTTTTGAATTTTTAAATTTAGAATGGGTAATAGAGTCAGATGGCTCAAAACTGAATACTAATACAGTGGATAACAATGAAAAATTTCACTTTAACTCTGTATTGCTATCAATGAGCTGTCCTTCAGAGAGTTGTATTTTTGTTTTGTGCCTTGGGAGCATGACTTTTATAGACCCACCTGAAGCCAGGCTCCAGATTTGGGGTTCACTGATCGCCCAAAATGGAAACCCAGGATGGAATTTGGTGTGGCTTTAAGACTACTCAGGGGTGGATTTCCTCCTTTGATTTCTGCCCTTCTTTGTTTAGTGGTACAAATGAAGCTCCGCTATTTATTTTTTATTTTATTCTAGCAATTTAGGTTTTTCATGAAATTTTTTCTAGGTTTTTAAGCTTATTGGAAAACTTGTTCTAGTATTTTCTAATGACTTAAAAATATCTATTATATCCATCTGAAGCATGCAACTGGATGTTTGTCCTCAAACCTGTCCCTTTGCTAATCTGTCCTATCATGGTAAATGGAATCCCCATTCACCTATATGCTCAGGCCATATCCCTGGGAGTGATCTTTGATTCCTGTCCTTGTCCTGCTACCCCACAGACAACTTATCAACAGGTCCTGTCATTTCTACCTTCAGAATATATCTTAAATGTGACTCTTCACCACCTCTTATATGACTTATCAGGCTACCAATAGCTTGAGTTGGATTATTTCAGTAATTTTTTGATTGATCTCTCTGTTTCTCTTGATACCAACTGTCATTTTTTTCACTTTAGGTACCATTTTTGTTTCATAATATTTGTCTATTTTAGTATATTAAATTTATTTATAGTTCTTTTGAAATGGTTCCAATATTTGCTAGGATAGTGTTTATTTTCTGTTGTTCTCTTTTTGAAGGTTAAATTTTCTAAGGATTTGTCCTCTATGTGTCCCTTTCAAGTAATTTTGAGTTTCCTGATATTGTTGGGTCTGGAACTAGATCTTTTTTTGAGCCTGATATTTTTTTGTCTCTAATATTTGGCATAAGACAGGTTGGATGTTGAGATGAGCAGCTTTACCCAGATCCTATCTGTGCTGCTTTAAAAATTTCTTTTGTATCTCCAGGCCGCAGTCACAGATTTGTTTTTTGTCTTTTTTTAAGAGTATGAGAGTTCTTCTACAAGTCCCCAGTTTCATTTTCTGAGTTTAGATTCTTATGCTATGCATAACAGTGCATTTAATCCTAACTATCTCTCAGTTGAATATCTAGCCATCTGTAAATATAGTAGGGCACAGAAACAGAAAGTTATTTGCTTAGCTCTCACTTACTACTTTGTGTTTCAGGTCCATTGGCATAGTTATTTCAGGTGTTAAGTGTTTCAAGTTTTAAAAGAAGTCATCTTTTCCTTTTGTCCTTTCACCCTCCCTTCTTTTGTTCCTCTTTTCCTTTCTTCCTTTCTCCTTCCCTCCTTCATTTTCCTTTCTCCATCTGTCTGCCCACCTATGTATCTATCAATGCTTTTTTGTAAATAAATGG